GTTATTTTTCCCAAGTTTTCTCTCACTTCTCTACCTGTGTCCATGGAAGTCTTACACAGGCCTGTGTCAGAGGTGAAAACTACCTGTTTATCTCAGATTGCCCATGGGGGCTCCTGTGTTTATGAAAAACCCATCCAGAAGCAGAGATGCAGCTGCAGTGGTGCTCAGGTAACACCTACACAGCAATTCAATTATGCCATGCTTTCAGAGCATCAGATCTGTGAGGTGTCTGTCCTTCTGGCAGCACAGCTCCTGCAGTGGTGACAGCGGGAGGCAGAACAGCCAGAGCCTGCTGGTACCTTTGATGCAGAATATTTCAATGGGACAGGATTTAGTAAATGAAAACTCAGCCAAGAGTCATCAGGAGAGAGATTATTTGACACAGGAGGTAGACTGTCCCCTACATCAGCTTGCTCTTTAACTGGACACTTTGGTTCTCTTCGTTTTCTTAGGGAATACCAGGTAGAAAGAAAGATCTGTTTAGGGATGGGCAACACATTACAAATGTTTGCTGAACCAAACATGCATTTGACCAAGATACTGCCAAATTGAGCAGGTTTTTGATGTCACCTGTAAGTAGATAACTAGCTTGGACAGACTTGAAAACATCTCGGGCAGAGTCCCAGTTTCAAACAAGTCGTAGGAACATGCCAGCTTCCAGTATGTCACATTCTGTTTTTCTGAAATAAGCAAAATTGAGCATTGACAAAAATTACATTTCTTGGATTTTACATCCTCCTGTTCACTGTGGTCAAGTATTGACTGCACAATCAGTATTTAACTTCAAATGAAGTAGAAAGTGTTGCATGGTTAGATATAGACTAGTGAAGTGTAGATAGTGCGTAGGTAATAATCAGTTTTAAAAACAGAAGAAAACTTGTACAATAGATGTTGCTTTCCTGGTGGATTTAAAAAAAATATTATACTTTTGAATCAATACTAAGTAAAATATCCAGTAGTCTCTGGGGAGGGAGTATCATGTGAATAATGGTCAAACTCTATGGAGCCAGCTTAAGAGACAGCCTTTGAATTTTTGGCAACAGAGGTGTGTAGCCCTAGATTAGAACCAAACCTTTTCTGCCAACATCAGTGAATAGTGCTAAAAGTTCATGCAAAATAGGACAAGTTAGACCTTTGACATTTTTCTCACAACTGTTGCTTTTCAAATCACTGCATTTGCATGCAAACGTTTGTTGGATTCATCCATTATGCATGTCCTAGAAATTTGATAAATGTCTCATAGGTTCCTTCTGAAAGGCTAAATCCAGCTGCAGTACCCAATTGTAAAGACATGGTTACTGGCTTGCAATGTAAGCCAGTAACTGATATTCCTCTGACTTGAATCTTCTGGATGGGAATTTAAAAATGCTGCTCCTCTCTGATTGTAGTGAACATTAAAGACAGCACACCATTATTCATTTAAAAAAGGTTTAAAGGCTTGCTAGCAGTCCTTGAGTAAAGATTTCATCTTTCTAGTGGTAACAAATGTGTTACAGAAGACATTGCATAGAAGTAACAGTGCATCTTCGTGCCTGCCTTTTTGAGAAGTGTTTTAGGACTAAAACACTTCAGCTAAACTTCAGCTAAACTGTCCATGTGTCTACCAGACTGTGCTCTGCCTGGAATTGTTCTGTGGGGTTTTTTCTGTTATTTCTAGAGGAAAGGTCAGCGATATCTATGGCTTTGTTTTAATCACATTTGATCAATTGCACTTTACTGTGACATTTTCACCTACTACTGTATTAGATTAGTGGTTCATTAGGATTCTGGCAAAGGTGATGTCACCAACATCTGCCTGTCTTCCAGCATCTGGATTGCCTAGTTATGCCATCAAGTATGGTATGAATAGGCCAGTTCAAAGTAGGATGACACCTGAAATGTGTATGATCAAGCTAACATGCTGTGTTAAATATTGTCATTAGTATTATTGCTGCCTAGTTCTGTGTGACTTCACCAACAAGCTACACAAATCTCTGCAGAGGGATGCTTGCTTGTGATACAGATGCTACTGATGAAGTTTCCTTATTGATTTCTGTTCATACAAAAAGGGTTCAAAATAGAGTCAGATTAAAAAATGGAGGCCTTGCCCTGGTTGATATTGCCTTCCTTTATGACAGATTTAATTGGAAATCTAACAGGAAATTAGACTGGAAGATTGCCAACTGCGTGGCTGGCATGCCATGAAAGATCAAGTATCTGTGCCTTTCATACTGCACACCAAAGCAGCTTATCAGTTATCTGGGATTTCTTGTGAATTTTAGGCTATCAAATATGGCATCAACAGCTTCAGCAGCAAAAATATTTGGAAGTACATAGGGGAGAAAAGCTATGCAAGTTTTCATAGGGAGTTGAAAATTGAGGATGAAGAGTTTTATATTGACATCTTAAAGTGAAAAAGGAAAAGGCTACAGAAGCTAAACCATCCCTAAACACAGCCCTATTGACTGTTCATTTCCTAAGGATCTTTCCAAAGAAGCATTTAGAAGGATTGCTTTTTCAAGCCTAGCCTCTAGAATATTTCATCATGTCAGCCACACGTTCCACAGGAGTAAAATTAATGGCAGCATATCTCTTGCAGAAGTCCCTTTTGGATTTTGCCAGTTTACCTAACCTGGTACACAGGGTGTCTCCAGGGAGCATTACTCAGAGGCTATCTACTTGGCTGTCATTTGTTCATTCAAAAGAGATCAGTAAAACCAGAGTGAGAGAAAGAGGAGTGCTCAAGTCTTTCTGTCTGTCCTACTTAGATGGAAAAACTTAGTTACCCTGGGGCCAGAGTCATATGGAGCTGTTTTCACTGGCATGAGGTCCGTGCTAGGCAAAGGTTTCTCTCTGCAGAGGGATCATAGTGCCATGCCTTTTGACAAAAAGTTATTTCTTAAAGCCATGTTTATACCATGACCTTGTCAGAAGTGGATTACCATCCTCCACAGACTCTGGTATTCTGTAGTTGTACAAAGCAGGAAGAAAGCACTTGTGCTTGTGAAACTGCTGAAAATAATCCAGCTGTTTACATGTGATGAGAAGTTTCTAAACTAGCCTGCCTGATTTTGGTTAGCTGTTTCTCTTTAAATTGAAGCTGCAAGAAATATTTCATTCTTGACAGAAGAAAAAAGAGGGGAAGAGCCATGATCAAGGAACCCTTTATTTGGCATAATTAAGGCCTGTTTGTCTATTACTGGCAATAGCAATTGGCAGATTAGGCATCTTTTTAGCAGGTTTAAATTAGAAGATTGTAACTCTGTATACACCTTGAAATGATTGCTTCACCATCACAAGTATCATCACAAAAGACAACTACAATTGACTATTCATTTCAGAGGCCACAGTCTTTCACAAATTGTTTGAATACACTTTTGTGCACACACTAGTGCTTTTGGCATGAGCAGATTTAATATAATTTGAACTGATATCAATGCAATAGACGGAATTGTCTATATCCCAGGAATAGTTACATATAGCAGCTGCAGCTATTCCATATCTAGCACATGGTGCTTTCAGAAAGGAACAAACTGAAGCAAGACAGATGAAAATATTTGGAGCTTCAGGCATTCAGGTCAGAGCACATTAAAAGAGAGAGATTTGGCAGACATCAAAGGTGAAGTTTGTATTTTCTACAGCTTTTTGCTCTGTCGACAGTGCAGCTTTAGTCTGAAAAATTAAGAATATATTATAGAAAGAGTGGAAAAGAACAGTAGGAAAAAGGCTCATTTCTACATCAGGGATGCAGGTTCTTTTCAAGTCAATAGGAGTTGCTTGCTTGTATGATTTTTGGAAGGGCAAATAAAGTCAAATAGCTGCAATAAAAAGTTTATGCTTACATTTGAAATGTAAGGACTTCACCACAATTACCTGATGATACTCTAGCTGGTTTGTTCATTCAAATAAAAGAGTATTTGAACTGTGTAAGTGTCTGTGAGGTTTGGATGGTGGCTTGGAGAGATGTTTCTGGTTGGCCTCACTGCCATGGCCCTGTCAACACACATCAGCTGTAACCCATAGGAACTAAATACTTGCTAAAACAAAATCATATTTCATCCTTCATGCTTTTTGAATCTAATACTGTTTCAACAGTTTGCTGGGTGTACCAGATGATTGATGCTGTCACACTGCAGATAAAATTTGTCATTCTGTCATTTTTATTCAATACTTTAGAAGCATTTTGGTTCAAGCTGGAATCTGAAGAAATGTTATACATCTTTTTTACAGCTCACCTTAGTTATAAAAATAATGTCTAATTCTCAGTAATTAATTGGCAGACATTTCCTAAACACAGACCTAGAATAAATTAGTAAGTTAGTTGTTCCTGAATATGTCTTGAAAGATATGTGCTGTAGTTATTTTTAAATTTCCTACAAGGGCATATAAATGAATATGGTATCAAATACAAATACACAAATTTGCATATACACAAATATGTATATGTCAACTACATGAAAGGAGATCAGTTATGTTTAATCACATGCATATTTGGCCTCATTAAACAATGAAAGTAATAGACTAATATCAGCTATTTGCAGCAACTACATAGGATATTGTGAAAAGCTTGTTACATGGAAAAAAATTTTAGCTCCTTAACTTTGAGTGTATGTCAGAACTTTTGCCTGTAAAAATGAGCTGCAAGGACTATGTTCTGGTGAAATCATGGCTGAAACCTCACAGCAGTATTTCAGTGGTTTTGTATTATCCATTACCAGGCCATAAAATTACTCTAAAAAGCAAAGAGACTGACTTCTGGTATGGCAGAAGTTCCATTGTATACTTCAAAAGTAGATATTTACTTTATCTTTGAGTCTACCTGAATTTAATCTATATTGAATTATCTTGCCTGTGTCACAGGTCACAAGTTATTGCTGCTGAATCCAAAGAAATAAAGTCCAGCTTTGGGTGAAAACATTGGCAGCTAAACTTGTTTGTTCCTTCAGAAACCAGGTGCAGGAGATTGTGTTTGGTACCCCTCCACATGCACTACATCATTTGCTCTTTCTGTGTTTCCACAGGCATTGAACAGGGGCATTGCTGCTGTCAAGGAAGATGCTGTGGAAATGTTGGCCAGCTATGGGCTGGCATACTCCCTGATGAAGTTCTTCACGGGTCCCATGAGTGACTTCAAAAATGTAGGTCTGGTGTTTGTGAACAGCAAGAGAGACAGGACCAAAGCAGTTTTGTGCATGGTTGTGGCTGGCGCTGTAGCTGCTGTATTTCATACTTTAATAGGTAAGGTCACTTCATGTCTAGTTAATATGACTTTTAATTTGTTTCCCTCATCCATTCTTCACACTGCTTAAGCTGTAGGCTTAATATTTCATTTTGTAAGTACAGCAGGAGATGCAGAAGAGATGAGCTCTCTTGGGCTGGTATCTTGCCTATCCACGCAATTTTTATTGCTTTTTAAACAGGCTATTAAGGAGCAGATTCTAAGCACAGGGCTCTCCTGCCTGGAAACAAAGCATGCTGCTGATCTCTTTCAGTCAGGTGTGTGAGCAAAATGTTGATGAGGGTGACAGGTTCCCTGAAGCTGATAGCTCAGTGTTACTGTGAAGTAGTAATGATCAGCCAGCAGTATCTGGTGGGTTGGTTTGGCAAGACTTCCAGGTGTGCTTGCTAGGGCTGTTTGTCATTCTTGATGGCATTGTTGGTGTACTCCTTCTGTACCTATTCCTTTGCTACTTATCTCACAGTACAAACTCTCAGCAGGCAAGAGCCAGCATCCTCATTAAACTATCAGGTAGTGCTCTCTACTGCTGCTAGGCATCATCCACTTCTGTTGAATAATTAATCTGTGAGGAAGAGGTTAGTAAGAGCAATTTGTACCAAACTGACCAACTCCCTGAGTGTACTCTGAAACAAAGAAAATACACAAGCAGACACAAACTGAACATTAAAAAAGGCAGCCACAGGATTTGCCAGTTTTTGAGAGCCTACAAAAATGGGATATCAGCTCAAGCATCAGCCACAGCAATAAAAGCCATTTAACTTGGAAGACTTTTAACTTCATCCTCTCCGAGAACTCCACAAGATTCTCTGCACCTTCTGGCTCATTCTGCAGAGCTGAAACCTCTGGACCACAGCAACGAGGAACAGGAGATTCCAGAGGAAGAAGCAGAGAGTGCACTGCATTGAGCAGGTAAAATCCTAAAAAGTTGAGAGTTTTAAGGGGTGGGAGGGAGGAGGTAATTGTGACAGCCTATGGAGGCATGTGTTGGTCGACAGGCACTGGATTGGATCAGCACCAGTAGGGTGTCATTCCATCACAAAAAAATGGGAAATGCAAGTATAAAGGCAACATCCTGAACTGCTGTGAAATCTCAGAGTGGCCTCAAAGAGAGCATTCATTATCAGGCTGTTATTATCTCAAGGGCAACATGTGCTGCAGTTCATCATGTGAAATGGAATGGCATAGCATGGAATGGCATGGAATAGAATAGAATAGAATAGAATAGAATAGAATAGAATAGAATAGAATAGAATAGGACTATTTTAGTTCCTGCCTGAGTAGGTTCAAGATCCATCTTTGTAAACACAAATGCCCCCAGCTCTTACCCTTTTTCTGGCTGCCAGCTATATTCACCAGCTCTATGTGCCTCCCAAGCACTATAGTTTGTTTTGAGCATCATATCTCTTATTCCACCACTGGTATGCGAGCCCTGTGCTATTTAGCTTTGCTCCATGTTACAGTCATAAAAAATGCTTACAGTTATGGCTCACTAGCCAGGGATTAGATATTGCTAATGTGTGCCAGGGATTAGATATTGCTAATTTTATAAACTGAATCCAGTTAATATAATTCACTGATTTCAACTGGTCACTTCTTAAACATGTTTACATTTGAAGCTGTTTTATTGAGTCAGTGTTATAAATTTTGGCCCATTTGTACATTTGGCTCTCATATTTCTTTGCTTGGAATATTTCTTCATCCCCCAGAGCTGCTCTTCTAGTTGCTCACTTGCTTGTCTGCCAGTGCTGGTCAAAGATTTGCCTTTGCCAGCTGGATAAAAAGTTATTTTCTAGTCATACAGTATTTTATTTTAAGCTAGAATAGATTTTAAGAAAGTTTTAAGTGTAACTATCAGATTTCCAGGTGAAAGACATAACTGGATTTTCCATGTGGGACATCTTATTCAAAGGAGGTGTTTGGAACAATGGTTGGAAAACCTGTCAGCTAAGTTTCTTGCCTTTGCCTGTAAGTAGAGCCCTGCTGGGTTCAGACCCTCTGAAATGCACTCGGCAGACACTGGGGAAAAAAAGAGGCTGTGCTTACCATGCTTTAAAGTCCTGAATTAAAGGACTGCACGCAATCTTTCAGCTTTTTATGGTGACAGACTGCAAAATATTTTTTGGTATTTTAACTTGTCTATGCCTGAAAATATGCAAAGGCCACAGCAGAGACTGGCAGAGCGCCTGAGGGAATGGAGTTAGTCAGATTCTAGCACCAATTGCCTGGGTGATGTGGCCAAATTTTATGTTCCAAGTTTCCTTTGAACCTGTTTCAAGTCCTGATTATTTTACTCTGACCCACAGATCCACAGCCTGCCTAGCAGGAAGAAGAGAAGGAGCCCAGTGACAGGCGGCCTCCTAGGACCTGCAAGTGCTCCCCAGCAGCTGCAAACCCACCACAGGCTATCTACAAGAGACACAAATACAGGTCCCTGGTGCTTGATGGATCAAAAAGAAAAAAAATAACACTTAGGGGACTACTTGTTTTTTCCACATGGTGTAAATATAGGGCTAAGGAAGATGACATGTCTATCTGCCATGGATTGTCAAAGCCCAGGAAGAAACAGAAAACAAAAAGCCCAATGAAATAAGCAGTACCAAAAGGAAGAAAACAAATGATGGTGGAAACACAGTGACCACGATGAATCACCACATTTCCAACTGTGATAGAGACTATTTGCAGTCTACACACAAAGCTCCTCACAAACAGTGGCCTCTACTCATGGAAAATATCAAACCAGAGCGTTTCACCCACCTGACTCATGCTTCATTGCTTCAGCACCAGCTTCCCACTGCTGCTTCCCTCCTGGGGCTCACACAATCCTCACTGCCAGTGACTGGCTGAGCTAAACCACTTGAACTCACAGCTGCCAGCTCTGGGCCCCTCAGTCATCACCCAGCCACATCCTTAGGAAGGTCTGCAAAGTCCTCACCTGCAGCTCCTGTCACGCGCCTGTACTGGTAGCAGTAGCAACTGAGAACCAAGTTGGCCAAAGGGATTCAAAGCCATGTTCTCATCCTGCTTCCAATGCTTGCTGCTGTAAACTTGTCAGTACAGTATTCCTCGACTGGCTGTTTCAGATGTGATCTGCAATATAATATTCTTTCTGCCTTCCTTGCCCTGGGCTACTCTGAGGGCAGCTAGTGCCACCAATTAGTCTCCTGGTGGGAAGGTCACTATGGAGCCAGGGTCTAAAGTGTCCTGTTATTTCAGAGACTGGCTTTTTGGTGGCTGTAAGAGAAGGGATTCAAGATGCTAAGCCTGTCTCAGCATATTTTTGACATCTTTCAAAATTGCCAGCTTGATAGAGGAGAAAAGTCATTTATATAACATTATGCTAACATAATGCATTTCTTAGTGTTGCTGGTAAGCCCTCCATACTAAGTGAGCCTTTTAACATCAGTGTCATGAAGAGTATGCACATTTCCTTTGGCAATAAAACAGCATTGTTTTATTGCTTTTCACTAGTTTACAACACAACTTTTCACTAGTTTCACTTGTTTACTGAGAAATAGTATACTGAGAAAGCTTATTTCGTTTTGAATAACTCTCAGTAGTTCCAGAAATGACAGGACAGCAGTTACTTTGAGGAAATATCCTCTTTGCTTTTTACTATCCCTGATTAAAACAATATGATGGATCATTGTCATCACCAGGAGAAAAAGGTTGGAACTTAAGTGTAGGTTAACTTCTGCAGTAATCTATGGCAGATTGGATGGCCAAGACACTTGAGTGGTTTGCTTTGTGCCTATTTATTGCTGTCAGGCTGCTGAGCATGGGCCACAGATTGCACATGGCAGCACTTCAGCAGTTCCTGGCAATTCCACTGATACTTTTGAACTTTCCAGATGCATGGTCACTGCATGTACATTAAAAATCTCCATAGGAATTGAGACATAGGTGTAATCCCAGCAATTCCAGTGTAACACTACTGGAATTTTCTAGAGACTAGGAATTACAGAGTGGATTGTAATAAACTGAGGTATTTCTTTTACTCAGTCTTGTTCCAACAAGATCACTATTCTGGGGTATGCTAAACATTTTTCCCTGGAATAAAGGACAGCACAGAAACACAAATCAGAATATATCTGGGCTTGCTGCTTTCTCCATGCTCCTCCTCTCTAAATAAAAGTAAAATGTTATTCATTAAAAATTTGTCCTACTTCAGCATGGTCATTGTTAAAGCAGTAACATGCTTCCCTGGCTGCCCCCACCCTTTTCCCACAACAGGGGCAGTTGCTTTTCAACAAGCTACTCAGGACAAAAGAAGAAAGCACTTTTGGATAGCAGTGATTGTGTCTCAGTTAAAACAGGATAATTTTGAGACTTACAAAATGTTGGCTTATATGAAGATATTTCAGATACTAAAAGTCATTCATAGATTTGGGAAAATCTATGTAATGCAATTTTGGAGCTAGACCTGAGCACAGAAAAATATGGTTGCAGTAATCAGTCTTCACTGAGATGCTCCTAAGCTGTTTTGGTTTTCTTTAATTTATGTATTACTATAATGAGCAAAGAAGAAAAATCTCAACACCTTAAACACCAATCTGAGCTTTCACATGGGAAAACAGAGGCTTTCTCTTCTGTTTTACATTCAAGCTAACCAAAGACATAAGGAAATCTATATACCCTGTGGCATCTCCAAATGAAGTTTTGCTATTGTTTTTTCACATTGGTATTTTCCTATCTGCCCAAATCCCTTAGTTGAACAAGTTAGCTCAGTGCATTAAGCATGGTGTTAATAACACCAAGGTTGTGGGTTTGGTCCTTGTACAGGCCACACATGTCCTTGTGTGTCTGTTTCAACTCAGAACATTCTGTGGTTGAGAAACTCATGAGCATCCGTTTGGCCATGTGAACCATCTTTCTGACAAGCAGCTGAATAGATTTGTTACTTCTCAAGTTTCCAAGTTCATTTTTAAAACTGGCAGCAAAGTATGTAAATGGAATGTGTCTAGAAAGAACACACTTTATCCAAAATCATGTTTTGGATTTTTTCTTCTGGTAAAGCTATTTTTGACATATGTAGCTCCGTGTCTGGAAGTAAATGGTGTCACTTCCTCTGAGAGTTTTTTCTTTGTGATTTAAGTATGACATGCTCAGTAGCAGTCAGCTCCAAAATAACTATAGTACAGGTATTTGTCTGAGATTGCTGGCATCATTAAAAGTGTGTTGTTTTAAGGGTGTCTGAAGTTTGTGTGATAGTAATTGGCTTGTAGAGAAATCCGTGTAGGGACCAAGAGTTCCAATTAGGTGTACAGTTTTCAGTGTCAGTTCTTGACCTGGGTCTTAAAACTCAACTGGAAAAACCAAAAGTTAATTCTCGCTAAGCAAGAATTCCTGCTTAGCCTCTGTAGCAAATCAGATCCTTAGACATAGCAAAACAAATGAGGTACTAGAGAAGAGCAAACAAGCAGCTTGTCTTGACTTTTCTGTTTTAGTTGAAATGATGCAAGAAGTGGGAAGTGCCATCTGCTTTAGATTCATGTAATACTCTCTGGCTCTGTTGTCTGTGTTATTAATTTTGTACCATTCTTCATAATAAGTTTGTAAGGTTGGCCAAGGTTAAGTTCTAATTGCATCAGCAATTGCTTGATTCATGGCTCAGTGACACATGCCTCTATGTTTGTCAGTGAATCTCAGCTTGCTAAATCCTTCTTTGTGAGGGCAAAAACATTCATGGACATCAGGGAAAGTGATTGTGTGCTTTCACTGACATATGAAATAGTTGACTATTTTGAAAATAATGTTTTAAGTTCAACCATTACATATTTAAAACCCAAATCACATTACAAAATGCAGTTAAACTTTTTTTTGATGGGGAGAGGAAAAAGAAAATCTTTCATGAGTACAGAGCTCAGTGCTGATATCCCTAGAAACCTTAAAAATGTGATGCTATGAGTTGTAATGGCATAAGTGCCTTGAGAATGCCCTGCCAATAAACTATTAGTCTTTTCTAAAAAGTGAGACTAGTTCATCCTCTGACCCTCTGATTCGGTGAATTTTTCTGTAATAGTAAATCAACCAAAAAAACTACCCACAATGGCCTTTAGAGACAAAAAGGTTACTGATTCCACAAGGACTTACCATGCAAAAAACCGTTCGTAGCTGAGAGTTTTCAAAACACCAAGTGAAGATTGGTGCATGGCTATTCATGCAAAAATACAAAGAGGCTGTGCTTGATGTTTGAACTGCAACAAGCACCTGAGCACTTAAGGGACTAAACTGCCTTCTTAGAACTGAAGAAAAGTTGGAGTCCTGGTTTAAAATTCTTCCCCAACCCTCTTCAAAAGGAAACAAGGCTGGGAGTGTGTCAGGAAGATGGCTAAGCAACTTGGGATTCACTCAGTCAATTTGGAGACTGAGTCTAACAGTTATAGTTCAGATGAAAGACATGTAGATAGGGAACAGCATAGGGAAAGGAGGAGTTTTAAACATTTTTAGCAGCTTTTGGGCAGTCCTGGTTATCTGGAATGAGGCTTGTGTTTGTTCACAGTGCTGTCATACCACCTTCTTTTATTTTACTATCTTGTTTACACTGTCTTATTTGGACTCAAATAGTATTTTCGGTTCTGTTAATCATTTAACTGCTGTATCTCTAAGCCATCACAAAACAATGACAACCTAAACTCCTCTTTAATTGCTTCCAAATATTGTTTACAAGTTATGAAAGGCAGTTTTAGGCTAAGAGGATTGAATTTGATGACTAATGTTAGCGTTTGTCAATCAAGTTATGAGACCTGCATGCATGAAAAGGATCTTTCCTGAAATACCCTATATGAAGATTTGTACAAAAATAATAGGGTTGTTATAAATGGAAAATTAGATAGATGTTCACATTTGAAGTAGTTAACTTAGAAAATACTCAGGTAGGAGAGAAGTGAAATAAGGTTCCCCAGACACAAATAATTCTGCCATTATTTGCCTTGGGGGAGATTGGCTTTACAGCCTAATAATTCTTGTAACAACTATTGCAAGTGTATAGAGGAAATCAAGTAATGATGTGCAGGTCTAGAACATAGTTTATAAAAAGTTAAAGCTGATTTGTATTATTTACCTCTGCATATTATATTTGTCTCCATAGTTCAGACCCCAGTCACAGCCTTTGTTATTCCTGGTTATTGGGAGAACACTGAGGTTTTTAAAACAGCTGTATAACATGGGTACAAACAGAACTGTAAGCAGTTCTGCAGAGAGCTGTGTGGGGACTTCCCATGTCTGTAGAGCCTTCAACCCAACACTTTGAGAAGAAAGGCCTGGAAAGAGAGAGTTGTCCAACATTAAAAGGTGTCTTGGGTTGAGACAGGACGGTGAAGAACACGCTGGCAATCAGGAGTGGGAACCCCCTGATTTCCAGAGGTGCCTTGTTCTGACCTGTGGCTCTGGAGGTGCTGGCTCTAGATAAGGAAGGAACTCAGGCAGGTCAAGGCTGCCCAGGGACTGCATAGCAAAGCACAGTGTCCTGACAGTCCTGGCAGAGGTGGTTGTCAGGCAGAGTAAGGGAGAGACATAACAAGTGTGATTTGTTGCATGCCATCACAAATCACTGTATCCTTTTACAGCTTTGGGCAGGTTTACAGGTAATGTCATGAGAATGCAGTGATAATAGATGGTTTCAGCATTTATAAGGCACTGAATCCCATGAAATACACAATGCCTGGTGAAAAAGCTTTTCTAACAAAGAGCCTTGATTTAATGAAGGAGCAGTAGATTTTCTGGAGTACCAGTGTGTTCATTTAGCAAACAGATGTGGCACTTACTATACTCATCTCCCAACCCAGCCATTTGTTATCACGCCTCTGCCAAAGGTTACTTTAAAAAGAACCATGAGAGCACTTCTTAGTCATAAACAGCAGCTGGTGAGGCTGCAGTATCTGAAGCCCTTGCAGCTGCTTGCTAAGTGGATGTGTGTCTGAGCTCCAAGGCATTACAGCCTTTCAGGTACTTCTGAATATCTCACCCAAGTGTCCATATGCAAGCTTTGTTTTTCATTCTTACCTTGTTTCTTTACAGCATATAGTGACCTGGGGTATTACATTATCAATAAGCTGCACCATGTGGATGAATCAGTGGGAAGTAAAACTCGGAGGGCCTTCCTTTATCTTGCTGCCTTCCCTTTTATGGATGCCATGGTGAGTGCCTGATTCAGAACTGAAATTTAATGTTAATGCTGTGTTTTTGTGACCTTAGTTCACAAACTTTGTTACCTGATGGGAAACTGAAGTATGCAGAAGTAAGGGGTGTCCTTGGTGAGCAGTAATTCTCTACATACCTTGACTCATCTCCTGCTACATGGAGAAATTGTCTGAGTGGACTTTAAACATTCAGAGATCATGACAAATGTCAAAAACCTCAGCTGCCTTGTCAGAGTTACAGTATGTGCCTGTTGGAAAGCACTGGTAGTCTTGTGATGAGCTGCACTGGTTGTCCATATGTGACCTCATTCTGATTTGTAGTGAAAGATTTGGATTTGCCACGCATTCCCAGACCTGCAGAGCTCACAAGGAATAAAATCAATCATTTCTCAGAGCAAATTTGTCAAAAAGATGTTTCTTACCATCAGTTTTTGCAAGCACAGCTAACACAAGTATATCTCAAATGCTTGAGCTAGGAAGCCACACATGGGCAGAGCTGCTGCTTCCCAGGTCACCAGGCTCATTGAAAATGTGGCAGCTCTCTTTAATGCCTCTACCTGTGTGTAAAACTGGTAGAGGAGAACTTTCTCATGCTAATGCCTCCACCACTTTCTCACCCCTTTGTCTGCTTGAAACAGTTGCTGACAATAAAAGAAGTGGGATCATTTAAAATAAGTTGGATTTCTTTTCCAGACAGGACTCAGTGTAACTCAGTGGGCCAATGAATATTACACTTCTGAGGCGCATCCAGCAGGTGCATTTATTAGATTTATCATTTATTAGATTTATTAAATGTATTAGATTTACTATGATAATTCATCCTGTGCACATCTGATTTGTGAAGGGCTGCTTTCTTACTAGATGTGCTCAGAAATGTCTATACAGTCTGTAAGTTTATCCCTGTTCTCCCTGCCAGCCTGACAACATTGAGGAACTCAATGCAACAGTGCTTTCTCTGCATTAATGCCTAATGTTTGCCCAGATTGACAACAGGTACTGCTGCAGGTTGTTTGTGTACAGTGTAGCAACCAGGAAACAGCATTCTTGGACCTGAAATCAATCACAGTATCATAATCACTTCCCAAGCTTTTCTCTGTCTCTTTTTCAGGCATGGACCCATGCTGGGATTCTGCTGAAACACAAGTACAGTTTCCTAGTGGGATGTGCCTCCATCTCAGATGTCATAGCTCAGGTAAAGGCTCCTCATAGAAGCCACTGTTCCCATTGTGTTATGGAGCAGATGCTTTCCTAAACAGGAGCTCTCTAGTACAGACAGTCTCTCTGTGCCTTCTCTCTCTTCCACAAGCAAGACACCAGAGGAGGTAATCTTGTGTGCTGCCCTCTGACTGTTCATCATGTGAAGGCTGTTTGCTGGCAGCTGTGGTTTAGGACAGTCTCACTTGACTGGATCAAGTCAGTTCCCAGGCTGTTTGCCTTGGGGTCGTGTCCTGGAGCACTTCCACAGCCGTATTCATAATGGCTGAGAAACAAGTTCTGTACGTACACGTGTACATTTGGGGAAAGAAGGGTCAGGCAAGGAGACCACGGGCTGTTACCAATCCTCAGGCTGAGAGAATGTTTTGAAATAGATCTTTCTCTCTCTGTACATTCTCCCCAGCACTTTGCACAGTTCCAGTGAATCCTGAGCTGGAGGTGAAGGCATGATTCTCCAGCTGATCTGTCAGTTGTGCACAGGGTGTCTAATCCAAGGAAATGCAGTGTAAGCCACCTTTGAGTACTTATTACTGTTCCAAAAGGTGAAGGCTCAGAAGTGCTCCAGAAGGGGTCTGTGGTGATAACCCCTGGGTGATTCAGAGAAGACAAAATGTATTTTGAACTTTCAAAAGGGAGTTGTTAACCATCCTATCGCTTTGTGTTAGGCACACTGAAAAAACAACATTCATACACATGTTGTAGCATTTAAGAACCAACATACAGCCCTCATTTGAAAACATATAAAAATATTTGGAAATGAAGAATCCCAGCAACTGTAAACAGTTGCTGTAGTGCCCCATTACCAGCTCTATGGTGTAATGACTGGATAAGAAAGAGGATAGAACAGTACGACATCGAAGGAAATATGAAGTCAATGGCACTCAGTTCAATTTTCTGTAGCATTTTCCTTCCACTAAACATAAGGAAACCATAAACCAGGTTGAGCTGTTCAGTCAATTGCTACTCTGTATTTGTCAGCTCTGCCCCACTACAGTAGTGCACTAAATCCCCAGAGATAATACCAATTACTGCAAATGACCTTAGCCCTCAGGGTCTGCTCTTGTTCCGATGTGACCCACAAAGTTTCCTGACCCTGGCTGTGAGGCCATGTGAGCTAAATACAGAAACAAATTCTTATTTTGGCCGTGCCCTTTCCACAGCGGCTGGTGAGGGGGGGTGCCAGGGTTGTGAAGAATAAGACACCTGTCATCTTCTCTCAACAGAATACTACACAGAGCAAGAGCAAATCCAGAACACAAAAAGTTGTGGCTGTCATAGCCCAGAACTCTGCACCCACATATGCACCCCACACAGGAAGTAGGGGCACAGGCAGTAGCCACTTTTTCCTGGGTAGCTTCATGTGCACACTCTTTGTGACTGACTTTGCTTCTATTTACTGAAAAGCAATGTTTTTTTAGGATTGAAAACCCTCATAAGCACTGTGGCCTGCCTCAGGAACATTTGCAGAGCGTGGTTTTTCTTAACTACTTCTACAGCTCTAGCAATGAAGGAGAGAATCTGCACCTGAACAATGTGTATCTTATTTCTTGTAACTCACTTGAAATGTCAGAATGTCCTGGCAGGATTGTCCTGGTTCCGCTCTTCACAGCACCAAACACAGTTGGCTTTCCAGTTGTGCCCCCCATCCTGAGTCATTTGGAATTTTACAGGCATTTCATCCACTCTGTACTTAACAAAGAGAATAATATATTAATCAGTTCCTTTACATTTTACAGATTGAGCATTTAGTCTTAAGAGGCAGAATTATGAACTGTTCATTAGCCTGAAAGTTTCCATTTAATTTACATTAATGTGGCTCTCAGCTGAAAAGCAAATAATGAAATAATGAAATTTCACTCGAAAAAGCTGAAAATTAGGTTGACATAAGACTTCCTGCTCCTAAATGTTGAAGTGAATATTTTAAAAATCTGGCATTTTAATTTAACTACCCTCCCCACTGCCCAAAAAACCCCACAACAGTAGGGCTTAGAAGCTGACCCTAGAAGCATGTCTCCAGCCTCAGTGTGTATCAGAATAGCACATTCTCCTGGGAAGGGTGACCCTCAGCCACATGCCTGCTGCCAGACCCTGCCAGACTTTCATGCCAGCCTTCTCCCATTTATGGGTTCTAGTCTGTCACCTGCCCAAACTTCAAGTCCTGTGTCATAGAGTATGAATTTAACTCCTGTTCTTCTCATGTACATGACCAAATCCTGAGGGATCCTGACTAAAGTTTCTGTAGAACTGTAGCCATGCAAGTTGTTGCTTAGTAGGAATCAGACAGGAATCAGCCAGGAGGTGTGTTGGCCCTGGAGAAGCACAGAGACAATTTGTTAATCATCTGTTTGTTTTCTCTGCAGGTTGTTTTTGTAGCCATTTTGCTTCACAGTCACTTGGAGTGCAGGGAGCCTCTCTTGATCCCAATCTTGTCCCTATACATGGGAGCACTTGTGCGGTGCACCACGCTCTGCCTGGGCTACTACAGGAACATACATGATGTTATTCCTGACAGAAGTGGGCCTGAAATGGGGGTATGTCTTCATGCTTGTGGTTTTTTGAACTCAATAATTTTATGTGGATTTTTTTTTTTTTTTTATGTTGTAATACTGCATTAAACCACTGTGCATGAAGGGCCTTCTCTCTGTCCTGCAGGAAAAACATTTTCAGTTTAAGAGGCATGGTGGAAATTATTCCAGCAACAGCACATGTGACACAATGCCTTCCATAGTTTGGATGTGTCTGCTGAGGACCTCCGTACTGAGCTGTAAGACAGCACAGCATGAACTAAGGGAACACCTTACTTCATATGGAAGGAGATATCAAAATTTCTCTTTTTCTTCAAATGTCATATTGTTTTTCATGTAGCTTTGTCTAGTAGTCAGAAAAAATTATGCAGATAGATACCTTATGCATATTTATTGAGATCCATGACACATCTTTTGAATCAGTATTGCTACCATGAGTGAAAATATTTTAGGCTCCTCATATTGAAAATTATTGAAATTAATGTACCAAACTGACAATGGAGGGGAAAAGCAGAAAACCTTTCTCCATGCTTTTGGTCGTGTACTGCATGCTTTCTTCCAAACTCACTTCATTTTCTTTTTATCCTGTGTTGCAGGGAGAAGCTACAATAAGGAAGATGCTGAGTTTCTGGTGGCCTTTGGCATTAATTTTGGCAACTCAGCGAATAAGTAGGCCCATTGTCAACCTTTTTGTCTCCCGGGACCTAGGTGGCAGTTCTGCAGCCACGGAGGTAAGAAAGGCAGTGCTCTCCATTGCTGCAAATGATCATTTCCATGGCATTATCTCTGTGCCTCTCTCCTCAGGCAAGCTGACAAGAAAAAATTATCTTAAGTACATTTCTCTTTAGTGCTCTTTTTATGCTTGAAAAGAAGATTGCCTGGACTCTCACTATGAGCCCTTCTGCCTGGGACCTCACCCTCAGTGAGACTAGTAGAATTTTTTGCTGAACAGTGCCTGCATCCCAAGTTTTCATGCTCTACACGTGGGTACATAGAGTCTGGAGCATTTAGATCCCAGGAATTTTAGGACAATTTACAGTAGTCCCATGTCCTGCTGTCTCCTGTCATGTATACTTTATGGCTGTGCAAATTGAAGTGAAACTACTGTTAACAGTCACTGCATCACACAGAACAGAGACACTAAAAAGTACATATAAAAAAAATTCCCCCTTGGTTGGGATATGAAATGCACCCTGTTTCTCTTGAGGAATTTCAGATTACTCCAGTAAGTCTCCTACAGCTGTTGGGAAGCAGATTTCTGACTGTGGTGCAGAGTCTTTACCAATGCTCACCACAAGCTGACCCATTCTCCTAAGAAGTCTGGGGAATTTCTGCTGCCAGTTTCTTGCAAGGATGTCTAGATGCATATAGCCATAGGATAAACAAAGCTGTAAGATACTAAATTAAAAGAGAAGTTCAAAGAGCTGCTGTAAATTTGTCATACATGATATGGTGTATTTCACTCACTCAGGAGGTGCCAGGGACTGCAAATAAACAGCTCTGAGAAAAGAACTTAGGAAACTTAAAACTTTTACATGTGTGATTCAGGGATCAATCTGTGTGTTAACAGTGGCCTTTGTACAAGGGGAGCCAAAAATTAGCAAAGATAAGTTTTTCATTTCTTGGTGACTTTCAATTTTAGGTGCATCACATTTCATGGCTAGCCAGTTCCATGTTGTTGCTATTAGGATGACTCCAAAAACTCGTCACAGCTGGGGATTTACTGGCAGTTTTACACTAACAGTAATGGTCACATCCCAACTTTCTCTGATTTCTGAAATAATTGCCTTTGCAAAGGGAGGTGCTGACAATACAGATAACACCAGTGTCTGGAGCATCTGTATCCACAGGACTTTTTGCAGGTCCCCTATTCAATAATAGAAGCAGCTTTCACTGTGGGCAGGAAGTCTCTGTGAAGGACTAGGCTGTAACATGTTCATGAGGACCACAAATCCACTTGCACTGTCCAGCCCCCTCTGCTTTGTTGGGACTGCCAGCACAGTTGTGGTAACTGGGCTGCCCCTTTGGTGGTGGCTGTCATAGGGGCCTTTCTCATCTGTCAAACACAGGTGCTAGACATTTAGGAAAATTTTCATGCATGTATGTTGGAATAACACTAATTGAGGAAAAACACTGGGAAAAAATCACTACCAAAATCTTAACACTTTCATCCAAGCAGAATCTAGCATACACAATATGGTAGGGAAATACTTTTTCCTTTAACAGGAACTGTGTCTTTGCAGTCTTTTTGGATTTAACAATGAAAATAAGCAAAATAGCTTTTATATTCCTTACTTGATTTAACCTAGTAAGGTTTCATATAGATGGAAATTCTGATTAAAATACAGTAATGGGAAGGTGTGCAATTAAAAAGGGTACTATCTTAAAATTCCAATTTGTTTTATTTGAACCAATTACTTTTTCCAGGTACATTAAACATTATTAATGCTGTTATTAGCAGGGAAGGATCTATACCACTCTCTTCCTCTCTGTGGATATCATCACATTCCACTCCCTTTTTAAACAGCACAGGGAACAAATTAGCTTGCTACATGGTCCTGTGTTTGTATAGATCTTTTAACCAAGCAAAGACAGCAGTTACATTTATAATGGGAAAATGGGCTCAAGAAAATGTATTTTGAAAATTTGGGAGTGAAACAGAAACAGCAGTAGTTAAAAAAGGTCTTTCTTAACACTACCATTGCCAGATGTAAAATGAATCAGAAATATGGATTGTTACAGATCTGAACCTGCAGACAAAAGGCACCCAAGTACTTTGATTTCTAGAGTTAAGAGAGTCAGGCAGTTCTCAGTTCAGATGCATACTTCAGCTCTGAGGACTAGAAAACTTGGAGTGACAGTAGATTTACAGGTAGCCACAGGAAGAGCTCCTAAACACCCTTCCTACATGAAGGTCATGCATTTGGACTTTTTCTTCAGCAGCCAGAAAAAACACTAAAATATTTCATACATTATATGGAGGGGAGTTTATGTCTTTGATAAACCTCTTGGACTGAACTTATGGGAGAGTAAAAGGGCAGTAACATGTTAAAATTTCAGGTAGTGAATTTTTTCTTATAATAAAAATGTTCACCTGGAATTATTTTTGTCTGGTGTTCATTGATGAGCACCAAAGTGGACAGAGCTAGATTTTTTTGGTCTCATAAGTGCCTCCTGCCTCCAAGCAGTCATATTGATGTCCAAACTCACTCAGCCACTGAGATCCAATGATTTATATATAGTATGCCTTACCTGAAGCTATTTTATTTATGGATAACCAAGTAAAATGTATGTAAATTGAAATTATGTGGTATGATCCAAAACTACTGTGAGCTGCAAGGCATTCTGCTGCTCAGCTATCTGTAGGTAAAATAACTCGGAAGCAATTTGGGAGGAAGGTGTTGGCCTGGTAAGGGGTGCACCACAGCTCAAGTTAACTTATTATCTCAGAGTATCAGAGTGATGGTGAAATGACAAAGTTGACTTAGGTAACTTCATGGCATGAAAAAAATTTCATAAGCTTAAAATGCCAGACCAAATGACTGCCATTTTGATGGTGTTCCTGAAACAAAAAGCTTCCAGTCCCTGGTCTGGTTTTGCATTGTGCCAAGGTCAATGAGGTGATACTGTGGGCAATAGCACCCTGTGTTAGTTTCACTGTTGTGTTTGAAGATTTGAGGTTCATGTTTCTCTCTCTCTCTATTCGTAGGCAGTGGCGATTTTGACAGCTACATATCCAGTGGGACACATGCCCTATGGCTGGCTGACAGAGATCAGAGCTGTGTACCCTGCTTTTGACAAGGTGAGTGTCCCTGTTAGGGCTGTCATAAATACCTCTGGTGCGGTTTTGCATGTGTGGTTCTCCTAGTTCTCTCTGTTTGCTGTTCCACTGATAGGTTTTCTTAAAATCTAGTTAAAATTAATTGGCTTTCAGTGGCTTCAAGCTGTTGTCTGATTTATGATTTTAACCTTAGCTCTGTGTTACAAGGTATTAAGCTGCCTTTTGGATAGATAGGTGCTGTAATTTTAGGGATTAAAAAAAGTTCTCACTATGAGGTAGCTACTCAGGTAATGAAGTGATTTCTCACAAAGTGTCATCACTGAATGAGCAAGCAAGCAAGCTCACATCTCTGCTCTGGATTTTGTGGTATCTCCCAAGTGGCTTTGGGTTCATTTGCTTATGTTAATATTTAGCAAAGAGTGTTTCACAGACTGACACTAACAGAGATAACAGACATTCTTTTAGTAGTACTGACTTAAATGACCAAGGCTATGAAGATTTTTGTTGGTAAATCATGTAATTATGTAAGAATGCAAGGACTGCTCCTGGATGGAACTGGGCGCAGAGCAAAAATTAATTTTGTTTAGTCTCTTTTTTTGCTCTGATTTATGACTGGTACTCACTAGTCCATATATTATGCAAAGAACAATCCTGTCCTGTGACTCTAGAATTCAAATGCCACATTGTCTCCTTCCCTTTATTTACCAATTAGTAACTGAACTTTCTGGTTCCAAATACTCATGAAAAATATGTTTTCTCTGGAATATATCTAACTGGAGCAAGCCCTGTTTAACATCATCCACCATATTTACAAGGAGAATTTATAACCAACACGAAGTCAAATCAATCACAACCTCCTAACCTGCCTGTGTACAACTAAATTGATCTGTCAGATAAAATATCACATGTAGGTTTTCTTGGAGGCCCTGCTGCTCAAAAGGAACTGCAGATGCACACCCAGTGAACTGCTAGATAAAAATAGTTTGAGACAGGAAACTCAGGAGCTGCTAACCTCATTTGATGCAAGCCACAATCAAATGCACTATTGTCAAGCAGTCGTAGCAGCAATTAAGACTCCTAAATTCAGGTCTGATTTAGCTGGTGAAAGATACACTGACAACTGCAGAGGTGACAGGATTTGACCAGGATTTGTCCATTTGTTTATTTCAGTTAAATGGCTTCTCACAGGGCTCTAGTGGGACACTGTGAGGAAGAAAATGCTAGGATAAGGCACAGATGGGTACAGTTTATCTAACTGCTGGAAAAGAACTCATGGGAATTTTAGTTCCATGTGTAAGAGCAATTTGCAATAAAATGTACAAAATTAGGTAGCAGCAGTATAAAGGGTATTTCATCCTGGCAACCATATGTGTAATTGCCTTCGCTCTACTTTTCAGACAATAAATACCAAACCTGAAGCCCACAGTGGGTTTTTGAAGATTGCTGTGAGAATTGCTTTTCCCTTGGTCATGCATCACCTTGTGTCACTGTGCCTTCCAAAAGCTTTGTTTCCTTATCATAAGTTTTTCTCAGAAGAGCCCAAATAGAAACACTTTTTATTTCTGGACCCTGTAAGGTGTCCATTGTGATTTTCAGAAGCCAAAACAGTGTGTTGCACTCAAACTCCCATTTTCTTTTGTTAGTTATTCAGGAGGTTGGCAATGCTGATGGCCATCAGAAGCACACTGACTGATGGGATTTGAGATGCCCCTCTTCAGGGCTTCTACTGGTGAAGTCAGATTATTGTCTTCACAAGGGAAATCATTATCTCTCTTCACATTTGTAAGAGAGATGCAGGGTCCTACTTCAGTCTTTAATGAGACTTTGTGTCCAAAGCAACCCCATGGCCTAGCAGTTACATTCAGGCTGAGGGTTACTACTGACATTTTGGAAGAAAGCGGGCATATGCTAGTTCTGTGCTCTCTGTGCTGTTTTATATGGTGATAATGCCATTGCTCCTAATGGACCCTGCCACCTGGCTCAGTACAGCACCAATTTTGAGATTTGTGAATGCTATTTATCTGATGACTAGATGGGAATTCTTATTGCTCCATAGTGTTTTGTTCTGAGAACTAAATAGTGTGGAAGAGTTATGACCAAAGAGTATGTGGTCAAGAGCTGGAGCAAAGGGCAGAGTACGGCAAGGGCAGGGATAACAGCAGAGAGATACAAACAGATGAGAAAGCTTTTTCTTAGCAGCCCTTTTGGATGGCTTGTTTTGGGTGTGCTTTATTTCTTCTTTGTTATTTTAGGCTTGTTAGAAAGTTGAGCCATGCAGCAAAAAGTTCATTTAAACAGTGGTGAGTGATGTAAGCGAAGCTTATCCATCTGTGAAAATTAACAGCAAAGCAAAGTATTTCTTCAGAAACACAATTAATAGTAGCAGATGCATGAAAAAATGTTTACAGGGAGTTTTCATAACCTGTTCCCAAAATGGTCAGATGGAGTGGCTTCCTGCTTTAGGGTCTGGGTTGCCTACATCTTCAAGCACCCAAACTTCCAAGCAGGTATTTAGGCAGGAACGTGGGGCTATCTAGGTGCAGTTGCTGCACTGATCAGAACAAAAGCCTTAAACTGCAAAATTCCATCTAGCACCTGAATGTGTGTGAAATAATGTACTGTTCACAGTGCTCCACTCCCCAAATGTATCTGCAATAGTTCTATTTCTCCTACAAGTGACCCCAGTAGAGAAGGCTGACTCTGTGACAGGTACTGCTGCTCTACCCCAGTCACATCTAGGGTGTGTAAATGTACATCTCATGGTACAGGTTTTATCAGCATGTGCACAAACTTGTGTATCAAGCAGTCCCAGGGTAAATGCAATAGATGACCTAACAGCCTCTTCCTTAAGGGCTCCTAAAGGTAACCTGCTTTGATATCCCATCCTCTCCTTTCACAGACCATTTAGTTTGGTTTTATGCATTCCCCAAGGGCAATTTTAAATCTTCAGCTTCATTTGCTATATTAGACATTTGGAAGAAGGCTTTTGTTGTTTTAAATAAAACTTTGTTGCCATGTGAGTACAGAGCCCATGTTCAAGGTGGAACATCTAATAGCCCTAATTATGTTCTGTTCATTAAACTGCATTAATGGAGCCAGCTGTTCCAGAAGCTTTGTTTATATTACCTGCTTGTCTAATTGGATCAGTAAGGATGCTTGCATTCTTGATTTGGTACCAATTTGTGGTAAAAGGGAATCAAATCCAGTTTTTCCTGTAAAAACATGCAACAAACATTAAAATAAGGTTTAAAAAAAATCATGTGGTGTTTTCTTAGAAAGAGCTACCCACCTTTTTCAAAACTGAATTTGTTAAATAGGACTTATTATTTGGAAAAGTAGGGAGATTACTCAGCCCTCAGTGACCATAGCAGCAGTTGTTGTCAGTTTAAGCAGAAAATGTTCTGTAGTGGTACAAAGTGCTCAGAAAGCTCCAGGTTATAAAGCAAACAAGCCAAGTCAGACATGGACAGGACAGACAGTCAGGTCCAGCACATGGCCCTGGTGCCAGCAGCTCCTGGTAGTCTGGAGCCAGGCTAATGCTGTCTATCTCTCTCTCTCTTGCCCTAGAATAACCCCAGCAATAAACTGGTGAACACCAACAGCACCGTCACAGCCACACATATCAAGAAGTTCACTTTTGTCTGCATGGCATTGTCCTTAACGGTAAGAAACCTTTGTTCAGCTCAGTGGTTTTTGTCTCAACCAGAAAATTGCCTCCTCTACCTAATGCTAAAAGCACTAGCAGTTTAAGGAAGGTGAGTTGTCTTGTCTTGTGAAGCTGTGTTGCTTTTATCTGGAGAAGGGAGTGTGATCATAGTATTGGAGTAACAAGAAAATCAGCTGTCATTAGCTCAGGCTAGATATCAAAAAGGTTGGAGTTACTCCACTTTATTTTCACTACTTTTCATTTCAAATCAGCATCCTGTGCAAAAAGATATCAGAGAGCTGCTTTTCTTTTCATGTCTTTTTGTTTCTTTTTTAAAATGAACAAAACTTAATGTAGCCAATGTGTCAGGAACACAAAAGAATGCATTTGTGTCACATGCAGTGGGATGGCAGCCTGTCCCTGGGCATTTTTCATGTACTGTGAATGGTGAGAAAGGCAGCATGGATTGACCCTGCAGTAGCTGCTCCCTGCTGCCTCTCCTGGCGCTGGGTTTTCATGTTAGGGTACTTTGGTGCACATTTGTTCTGTTTGCTCTCAAGAGTAACTAAAAAGGGCAATCTCGGAGGTGGTACTGACTAAAGGATCTAAATCTGTGTCATTTCATGGGGATGGTTTTCAGGGAGAAATTTTGCTGAGCCTGCCATGTTTCAAAACGGCCAATTTGCACACATAAATACAGTGCATTTTCCCCAAGAACACTGTTTCTGCAGTCTTCTTAGCAACAAACAGGCAGTTGTGGAAGAAAACTGCAGGTGGTAGGAATAGCAAATAATGGAGCATTGCATGCTTTCCATGGGGTACCTGGGTGCTTTGGAATTCTCTTCTCCCTATATTCACAAAATTCACTATTGAGTATGGTAGTGCTGACAGAATTTCTCTCTCCCCTTCATTTTAGTGTAGAACCTTTATGTCTGAGTTGCAAGTGGTTTATGCATGAAGAGAAACTAATTTACGTCAAAGGAAATGTTACAGCACACAAGCCAGAAATGTTTGTAACCATCTCCACCCCACCTGAGAATGTGGGACACAGAATTCTGTGTTTTTTCACAGTTGAAAAGGAATCAGTTCAATCCACCCATAGCTGAATTACGTTTCTTCTGTTCTTTGTTTCCTATACTTTTTCCCTAAATAGCTACAACTGGCCACCGCCAAAGACAGAATTGTATGAACCAATGTGGCATCTCCTCTGTCTTTTAGTTTCCTTAAGCTTGACCTTTTTTCATGTGGCTCTTGCTCTAACTTGTATTTCCTAGAGCAAGAAACAGACATATGCCTCCACTGAATTGGCCATTGTCTGGAGACTTTCCATGAGACCCTAGCTCTCGTTATCTACCATCACATGCCTTGAGGTTTTCTTTTGTGTCCTGTTCCAGACCAAAGTTATGTTCTCTAGAGTTGGAGCCTCCCTCAAAGTCTGTGTGTTGTTACAGATCCACAAAGGGGAAAGCTTTTCTTGTCCTAAATTGTTCTGAGAATACTATTTCAATCTCAAGAGTTTTCTCTGAACTGACTGTATTATTAATCCCCCATGATATTTATCAGGTTACTCTGATTCTGATAGATTACAAGCTTTTCACATTACCATCACTATCCTCTTCAGAGTAATTTTTAATTACCTCAATTAGCTTTTGTTTTGTGACTTCCTGGGATTTTGTATCCAAAAGTTCTCATTTTGCTTTCAAGGACAGTTCTTTCATGAGCTCATCATGAGAGATCTGCCCGCAATGAAATTCCAGAAACACTTTTGAGGTCCATAGCTTTTCCTGTCCCATTTCTATTTTTGCCAGCTAGTGACAGATTCTTAGGATTGCTTGTCAACAGACAGAGCAGAAAAATAGACATGAGCTCTAAAGATTCAGCTGTATTCAAAGGCATGAGCCTGCAAATGCTTCAGCACACAAACTCAGCAGATGTTGGGATGGCTCATGTTAATCTGTGCCACAGGCTCTAAGGAAGTAGACTTCAAATTTGCCTCTGTTGTGGCCAGGTGAGCTCCCATGGCCATTGGTGATAGCTGTGTTTTTATCCAGGGGCTCTACTTCAACAAATGGCAGACAGACTAGTGACATCACCATTGGTACCATCTTGTTCTTTCAGGTCAGAGCTAGGGGCTCCCAGGCTGATAAGACAAAACAAATCCAGTACTTAAACATGTAATGTAAGGGCATTTTCCAGTGGATGATCTGTAGAAGGATTCCAGTAGATGTAAAGATAAAGGAAGTCCATTAACCACTCGAAAAAATAACAGTGAAGCTTTAAGTACAAGCAGCAGCCCTGCAGGGAAGCACCTTTCCAATGTAAAACCTTGGGAAGCTTTCAATCATCAAAGACATCCTATTTCAATGGAACTGGGAGAAAAATGTCCTACCTCCTTCCACAGACCAGTCATGCCTGCACAAGAAGTACTGCAATCCTACTACTGCAACAGAAGCACCTTGTCACTGTTGGTGGTAGTGACAGTATTAGGTCAGAGTAGAAAAAAAAGACACAGTTTTGTTAAGAAACATAACTTCATGGTTTGTTTAAATTCTCATGGGATCTGAAAGGCTGCACCTGAACCTTTCCAGGCTCACTTTGCAACATGAACATGTGCTCTGTCAAGGATGATCATAAGTACTGTCTCATGGCTTTGAAGCTGCTATTAATGCTAGGGTATTAAGGCTGCTTCTTCAAAAAATGAGAATTAGTTGTGTTGCTCAGTAAAAAATGTGTAGACAAGCTGTTTTATTTAAAGGCTTTAAGTAGAAGGCATTAAACTCCTGATAGGTAAGACAGCTGCTGTGATTAGTCACACTGATGTGGTTTTTGTTGTAAGTGGGGATTCCTACCAAAGCCCTGTTTTGTGACTGTGCAACTGAATGTGGAATTTGTGTAGCAGAGGGAAGAGACTCAGCTGTAGAATTTTTTCCATACAAATAAAGGACCATTCTGATTTTAAAAAGTAAGTCGTGCTTGGTAATTTGCATGCAGTTTAAAGGGTGTCCATAATGCTGTTTGCCATTATCTGTTACTTCACTGCCAGTAGGCACTTTGGGAAAAATTCTTCTTTCCATATAGAAGCAGAGATGCTGCTCCAAATGCCAATGTTGCTGCCATTGCAGATCAGGCTGTTGAAGAACTAAACATTTTGGTTCAGTGCTGTTTAGATGGCCCTGCAGATCACCCTGAGGTTGCTGCACAGTTGTAAACTAAGGGAAGACACAGACTTAACAGAAAAGTGGTACATCTGTAGCCCATATCCCTTTGGCTGTGGGATGTGTCAGCCTCAGTACACTGCAGAAATCCCAAAATAATTTGTCTGGGTGCTAATTTACTGCATTTCTCCACTGCAGCAAAGGTTTGCTCTGTCAGGGGAGACACTCCCTCACATATGAGCTGTGCATAGAGGGGCAGGCTCTGTGAGGAGCAAGCTACTCAAAGGAACCTTGCCATACACAGGGGAGTAATAGCAAACAAGCTGTGCTTTAGCAAAATTCTATTTCATAGCATTCTAAGAAATTCTATTTCTTAGAATACTGGTAGTGTCTCTGAGCTTGGATACCAGAGTGCAAAATTCAGGGAATTTTCCAAGGCAGACTGTGATGGGGCACAGATATTGCCAAATTACCTTTCTCTCTCTTTTTCTCTTTTTCTTTCTTTTTTTTTTTTCTTTTTCAATTTTCTCCCCATTTCCCAGCTGAGCTGTATTTTAAGCCTTCTGTGATGACACAGAAGTTGCAGTCAGTTAAGATCCTTTTCCCTGGCTAATGTTAGCTGCTGGCAGCCACGTGATTAGTGTTTGGTCATCTGCCTCTGAACTGCAAGGCTTTGCAGGCTGATTTGACATCAGTTGTTAGTGCTGCTGTACAAAAGTGGCATTCCTGCAGCCACTGCAGCCTCACCTGTGTGGCCACAGCTGTGCCCTCTCACATGTCTGTGTGTGTGCCCTGAGCTGAGGGGCAGCCATCGATTGTGCAGGCAGCACTGGGAAATGGGACAGTCAGCTCTCCCAGGGGACTGGCAGCAGTAGCATTCACATCTCAGAATCATGCTGGAAGGCAGGTCATGTCTTAGTTAACACGAGGTCTGAGCACTCTCATTAAGTAGCTGCCACTGGGGTAAAAGCACAGCCAGCACCAGCTCAGTGTGGCTGGCAGCAGGTCACTGCATGGGGAACAAACAGGGTGCTGGTGAGAGAAAAGAAAGCAGCTTCTCAGAGAGCACTGTGGAAGCTCCCCAGCTCACCAGCACTGAAAGTGACCCTGAATAGTCTGCACTTACTTGTTCATCAATTCTTACAGCAGTAGTTCAAGAACTGCAATTTGATTCAGCTTTGTCTCCCAGCAGCATCAGCTGGAACAGGCCACAGTGGTTTTTGGGATACAGTTCCAAACACCAGCTCCTGTTTCTGCATGGTTCATGTTAGCTGAAGTGTTAGCAACACACGTGGCCCGTTATCTTCATATTCTCTAGTGTTCTGTGGATTGCAACAGGTTTTCCCTTCCCCAGTACGACAGGCTCAAGGTGCCTGGGTTGTGTGCACCACACCATGTTCATCCATCTGTCACCAAGCTCATGTACAGCAGGAGAGCTGCACAGTACCTCTAAGTTTTAACATGTGTTCTATTAGAAACAGCTCGAAGCTCTTTCCAGCTATTTAAAAGGAATTTCAATCCTGCTTTGCTTTTTTTTTAATGAACATATGGTTATGGACAATTGGGGAAGGTAGCAGTTTTCATGAATAAAGAGACTGATTAAGGGAAGAAACTAATTGTATAGAATACTGTTTTATATTTAATTAGTAAACACTGCTTAAGAATCAAAATCCATGTTTTTTTGATGTTCAGTTTTGCCCTGTGGTTTTTCATTCCTTTCTATTCCAAAAGAACGAAAATAAAAGAGAGTGCAGAGAAAGTGTTCACATTTACACTCATATGTGTGTGATTTATGCAAGATTTATACATTTCATATTTACTTGTTACAAACATACTAATGAAAACTTTAAATCTCTTTAAAA